CAGCAGCATTTCCTTCAGCAGCACCCAGGGTGTGACTAGGGGTGATGGAGGAAGCAAACCCCACGAGGGAAGATGGGCTGATGGCTCTGCAAGCACTGCCAAAATATTTGAGGGACCATGAGAACATTTCTCTGCAGCATCCAGTGAGGGAGGGACAAGGGAGGCTGCCAAGGTCAACCAAGGAGATGCTCAGGCCCCCCAAAGGCTGAAAATTGATTGTTCCCCCCTTGTTTTCTGCAGAACAATTATTTCTTGCTCCTTGGACTCACTTGGGTAGGATTTTACTGTCCAGGATACACGTCCTTGCACAGTCCCACCAGCCCCTGTGGATCCTGCACTGCACCACGGGCTCTGCACTTCCCAGGTCCTCTCCATCTTCTGGATGGGTTCCCAAAAATAGTTTATTGCAGTCTAATGTTACTCACTTATACAGGGATTTTTAATGTGAATTGTTTAATTTGAAGTCAAAAGCATGTTTTAAATTAATACCCGATGAGGGGGGAAAGGAAGCACACTCCAAATAAATAATATTTACAAGAGATAATTCCACAAGTGAATATTCTCCATCATCTCCCTATCCTCCAGTTCTCCTCTTGTCTATCCCCAAAGCTGCAAATGTTAACTTCAAAGCCAAGCACCATTTCCAACTCCATGGATTGGTCCCCAGTGGATGTGGGGAGCTGAGGGGCAGCTGGGATGCTCAGCCCCAGCCAGTGTGCCCCAGGAACTGCTGAGACCCCTTTCCTCAGGGATCACCCACCCAAAAATGCCCACTACACCCTACTGCCCATAAAACACACACACTGCCCCAGCTGCTGCATCTTCCCATGGAAAACGTGTTTTTTCTTTAAGAAAAGACTGGATGACTCGGTGCCATGGTCTGGTTGTGGTGCTGGGGCATGGGTTGGACTCCATGATCTTGGAGATCTCTTCCAACCTGGTGATTCTGTTGAAATTCTGCTGAAAAACACGGGGGAGCTGAACCTGCTCTTGGCACTGTGCAGCACGGACTGCCCAAGGACAGGGAACTTCATGGTCCCCACTGCAAGACATTCAGCAGCCCAGAAATAAACCCCAGGAGGACGTGGGGAGCTAGGGAATGCTCCATCTAACTGGATTAAACTCCAAAATCATGTTTGGAGATGCAGCTGAGCAGCAGCCCTCCCCAGAGCTGCTGGGGCACTACAGATGCACGCACAGCCCTCGTTCCTCTCCGTGCAGCAGACCCCTGGCATTTATCTCCGCTGCCCAAAGATCCGCTGGAGCCCCGAGGAGCTCACCATGAATCAGCATCAGCCAGGGCTCTGCCCACTCCAGCCCTCCCTCAGAAGAGCAGCGTTAATTCCCCCCTACCAAAAAAACCTGCAGCAAACACAGAGCCAGCAGCAGCATTTCAGAGGAGCTGCAATCCCAGGCTCTGCAGCTCCGACATCTCACATGAAAGGGAGGAATTTCCCTCCCAGTGAATAGCGGTTTATACATTCTTTGGCAGCCTGTTACCATTAGCAAACACAATCTGTATTTCTGCCTCGCTCATTTGTTTGCCAAGTGCCTTGGAAAGGAATATTTTATCCGCTGCCAGATAAAAGCCGTAAGCGACCGTGCCCAACGTTTCGCTGCAGGTACGAGGTTTGTTCCTGCAAAAGGACACAGACCCCACCTGAATAAACTCTACCCCACGTGGGTCTGAGAGTTCAACACAAAGGTGGGGGGCACTGAGGTGTCATCCCAGCCCCTCTGTCCTGGCTTGGGATAGAAGGTGGTGGGAATAAGGGGGAAATTGGCTGTGCTAGAGCATGGTTAAAAAGCTCATGCTGGGTTTGGGATGGAACAGAGGAAAAGCCTCCAGCTCCCAGCCCGAGCTGCCACCTGTGCCACCACCTCAGTGAGCGCCTGTCCCTGCCAGTGCCTGCAGCTCCCTGGAGTTTTGCCTTCCTGCAGCTCTGGCCCAAGCTCAGCTCAGCTCCTGGATGCTGTAACCCTGGGTTTAACCCCAGCTGCTTTCAGCTCACGCCCCAGTTCCTTTGCCTAGGGTATCATTTAAACAAAACTCCCTGAAAATGCCCAAACCAGACATTTGTGGTTCCACGAGGATTTTTTTTCTCCCCTTGGTGATCTGCACATCAAACACATGAAAAAACAGACAGAGGAAAGGGCTTGTGTGAGTTATTTTCTCTTTCCTCTGACCCAGCTCGCACAGCCGAGCCTTTCCTGCATCCCCAGCGCAGCAGAAGCGAAGTTCTGAACGCACATGGGAAGAGATCCTGGGAAAGGGGAGCAGCCAACTCACAGAGTCCCATCATGCAGCCTCAGTAAGCTTAAAAAGCCTTTCCCCCCCCTCCACTAGATTTTAATTTAATTTTTTCCCCCATTTCCTGCCTGTATTCTGCTCCTCCAGCTGGAACATGCTCCCACGCAAAACTCCTCCAAACCAGCACCAGGGGCTATTCCTGTGGGAAAAGCTTCCCTTGGAGCCCCAGCAAGGGAAAAAGCACACCCAGGACAACATGCACTCCCAACATCAGCTCCATGAACCATTATTGGGAGGGTCCCCGTCCCCAGCACCCCCACAGCCAGACCAGAACCACCAACCTACAACTGGGAAGCTCCCAAATCCCACTGGCAATTTCCACAGCCATCCAATTCCACCTTTCATTTCCAGAGCAACCTTTCCCCTCTTTACTTGGCCTCCAAGTTCAGCTGAAGACATTAACCTAATTACAACTATCTCTGGCATCGTTTTCATCTCCCTCTCACTCCCCCTGAATTCAGTCAAGGTCAATTTTTGCAGCTTATCCCAAAAAATTCCTGCTTGTTTGGGATTCATTTTTTAACAACAGTTCCACTTGAGCCAAAAGGCAGGAGAAGAGGAGATGCTGTAGGGGAGTGAGAATAAATGGAAAAAGCTGTGCCAAGGGTGGCATAAGGGGAAAAAACCCATTATTTTAAATTAAGAATTAAGAATATATCCGCTCCCCGGATGCTGCTTGAGCTAAGGATGGGGTGATTCTGGAAGAGGCTGGCAGGCATGGAGCAGGCAGCAAGGTTTTATTCCCTGCTGGCAGCCTGGAGGAAATTTGGGGGGCACAGAGAACGAACCTCATTTCACCTCTGCAAGCTGCGTGCCCCGAGGTGCTGCGGAGCTGGGATCCCTCACTTCAGGGTGCACTTTCAGCAGCTATTTAAGATTTAAGATTAAGCAGGATTTTCAGGAGCACCAAAGCCGTTTAGGTGCCTAAATCCCACTGAGAGTCCCTTTGAACAGTGTCCCCTCCTAAATCCCCGGTGTTTATCAGTGTCATTAGACCCTAAACACCCCCAGGCAAACCCTAATCCCAAACTGGTGACCATCACCGGCCAACACAGCCCTGCAATATGTGGAATATGTGGGCAGGGAATCCCCATTTGGGCACTTCCAACTTGTTCCACCTCCAACCCTTCCCTGTCTGACCTGGGAGTTCAGGTTTCTCCTGAAAAAAGGTTTCTCCTTTTTTTTCCCCTCTTCTCTATCTGGGTGAGCATCGGGGTGAAGCGGCGATCATGATCTACAGAATCTCTTTGAAATGATTGCACAACAAACCCCCCTGTGTTTCCTCCTGTTCCACACAGACCCACAGCCCTGTCCTGGGGTAGGATAAACCTTTAAACCATGGGATAACCCGAGGGGGATGTGGCAGCACCCCAGAGCCACGGATGGAGCCGCAGTTCCTGGAGCTGCTCGCTGCTCCAGCTGTGGGTGCTGCAAATCCCCCCAGGCAAACACAGCATCACCCCAAATCTGGGGTGATTTTTACCTTTCTGAGGTTGCAAGGAGAGGGGATGCAGCTGTAAACAGTGCTCTTGGGGGTGCAGACCCTTCCAACTTCTTTCCTGCATTCTCAAACCATTTTAGTTCTATGAACCTCTCTGATAATGCAGGGAAAGAACGTGCCAAGGCATGTGTTTGGCTTCCATCACGTCAAATACATTTTAATTGGTGATAATTCCTGCCTGCCTGGTATATCCAGGTGAAAATGAACCCTGTGTGCTCCTCTCTGCTCTGCAGGTTAATGTTCCTCAGGCAAGCTGGTATTAAAACCAAGGGACTGGAGCAGCGGGAATAAAAAAATAACAAAATCAGCTTTTAAAGGGCAGCTCTCCCAAAAGCATCATGAGATGTTTAAACTTAGCTCCAACCTGGCAGCAAACTCCTGTTTTAGGAAGTGTGAGGGGTTTGGGGATGTTCTCCCCTTCCTCTGCTGAATGGGAGGGACATCTGGCATCAAAGCAGCACCTGGGGGGGCACATTCCCATTTCACCCCACCTTGGCACAGCAGCCACCCCCCTGTGCCGGGCACCTGATGCTCAGGGAGGATTCTCAGCTCTCCATCACCTCCTCCAGGCTGCAATATTTTGATCAATAGCCTCATTCACATCCAGAGGCAGATGAAGGCACCTGCTGTCTGCTTCTCCCTCCCTTGGACCAGGGAACAAACAGGGGAAAGCCGGGAGGGACGGAGCCCCCGCGGCAAACCCGCACTGACACCGATGCTTTGGGAATGATGCAGTTATTGACCTGGGCTACAAGTGCATGAGCAGCCAGAAACCTGAATGGGGTTGTGATTAATTCTCACACACACAAAGCTGAATTTATGGGATATTTTTATTTCTTGATTCATTCAGCTTTAATTACACCATGGCCAGCTGGGTGCTCCACAGCATTGAGGTCTCTGCTTTCTCCCTCTCCCCAAGGCTCTCACCAGCCCTGGGCTTCTGCAAAGGACCAGAGATGACATCCATGCTGCCCAGATGTGCTGTCAGCTGAGATGGCTGCTGCACATCTGGATAAATCCATTTCTTTTTTTGTTTCCCTTATCAGGAGAGGCAGGTGCACAAGCATGACGGGGGTGCTGTTTTGGGGGGTTCTGTGGCACCATCCAAAGAGCTGCCACAGCAGCTCCTCCTGCACCAAGCTGGAGGTGAGTTTGCCCAGAACTGGCAGGTGGGGATGGTAATAATTCAAATATTCCTCGGGGAGTGCTGGCAAGAAAAGCACAAATCTTCCCTTTGAGATGTGTGTGAAAGGCAGCCTTTGTGCTCAGGAGCATCGTGTGCCTTTGGAATCCGTGCTGGAAATCTGAATCCAATCTGATGGGCGCCTTCATTTTATTTTTTCCAAAACAAGCCAAACAACTCTATATAAACAAAATATGCCAAAGCTCCTGTTTTCCCTCACCTGTCTGATTGTTTCTTCCTCTCTTGCTTTGCTGTATCAAAATAAACAAACACTATCTATTGATTCTGACGGTTCTCTGAAGATTTGTGGCAGAAAGCTGAAGACACCTGAGTTACTGCAGAAAAATAACTGGATGCCCACTGGTTGAAAATGCTTCTTTGGAATGAAAAAAGAGATAAAAAAGTGGCTATATCATAGCAAAGGACATGCTTTGCTTCCTCAGACTGGAAGGAAGTGTGAAGTATGACCTCGTTAATAATTCATTTTGACAAGTCTCCATCCTTCCTGCCTTTTTTTTAAAATCCAGGATACACCATGAAAAAAAGTACAAGAAATACAGAGTTTTGTTTTTATTTTATCTTCCAGAAAGCAGTGGGGTTCACAGACCCTGCATCTCCTTGTTCCCAGCACGTCCAACCATTTCCACCAACCATTCCTGCAAAAATACATTTTCCTATTTCATCTATACAATGGCACAAAATTAAAGGCTTCGCTCTCCCCAGTACCTTCTGCAACCCACAAAACTTCAAATTAACCTTTTGCTTTCATAGTAATTAATGCTGCAACACCACTAACGACCTGGTTGGATTCCAATACACCAGAGAGCTGCTGCAGCCCAATTGGGATGCCCTTGGTCCACACTGGATGCAGAATTATAATCTTCTTAGGGAACGCTGTTCAGCTCAGTAATTGCCTTACATTGTAAAATCCTGCAGAAAAAAAACTTGCCCTGAAGCACATTTAATATGCTCTGGTCCTTGGTTAAGCTCTGCACAAGTCCATTGGACTCTGCTGGCCTTTTTCCCCTTTAAATTTTACCTTTTTTTGGGTTTTCTCTGTGGTTACCACAACAGGATTCAGCACGTTTCACACACAGGGAATGAAAGCACCACTGAAACAACAGAGACCACAATACAAAGTCCTCAAGAACAAAAATCACATGAAATCCCACAAAAGAAATCTGGATTAAATCAGCTGCAATAGTTCAAATTGAGCTACCTTCACCCTAAAACAGAAATCCAGCCCAAACAAACAGCAGCCCTGGATTTCTGAGGTTTATTCACCACCACAACCCAGAGTGATGGTCCGGCCCCCTGGGGTCACCAACCTCATGTTCCATTTATCTTCACTGGCAACTCTATTAAAAATCTCAAATGCCTAGCTCATAAAACATTGAGATTTTGTCACAAACCTACCTTGAGCTGACCTCTGGCCATCAATTACAGAGGAGAGCCCAGGGACAGGGGAGCACTCAAGCAGCTCTGCCCATTTCCATAGCTTTGGGCAGCATCCTCTGTGCCAGGTCTCCCAAAACTCACCCTTCCCTTCCAATGTTCCCACTTTCCTCATTACCTGCTAACAAACAACGAGGAAAGACCCCAGGGAAGGTATTCAAAGCAGTTGCTGGAAATCAGAAGCTTCATCTAAGCCCAGACAGGGTCGATATCACCTCCAGCTACGCAAAACCAACCCACAGGTGCCTTATAACAAAATTCTCTCTGTTCACAAAGCCCTGAAGTTCATTTGCACTGAGCTGCTTCTCCAAGAAACTGGGATTTGCCCCCAAAACCCAGAACTGCTGGTGTGGCACAACAACCCCAGGTGGTTCCCCTCCAGGAGAACTTGGTGCCTGAGGCTGCATTGCCTGAGGCTGGAAACAACTCCCTTCTATCAGGCTGCTGGCTTTTTTTTCCATTTTAAGACTCATGATCACTGCATTAAAGAGGGAATTAAACTGATGGCTTGTGGATGATGTAAAACCTTGATGTCCTAGGAAGCTGCACAAATAAATGTTATCAGAGTAACTAAAAAGGGGAGACAAGCTGGTTTTGACGCTAAGTGGGATTGAGGTGGTCTGAATTCTCTCCACCTCCCCTGAATCACACAGTCCTGGTATCAGCCATGTACAAAACCACCTGCAAATCAGTCACCCTGCAGGAAAGGGGTTGATTGGAGCAACTTCAGCACAGAAAATTCAATTTTCCATTGAGACCAAGCCATGGCCACCCATCTCCCCTCACTGCTGGTCTTGAACTGAGACCAGAAGCAACCTCAAAAAAGCCAAGAGGTTTTTTTGGCAGAAATACAAAACCAGCACTGAGCACACTGTCAGGATATCAGCTCCCATCAGGCCAGCTGTGCACCTGCACTTGCTCATTTGGCCACTAACCTGCTTTAGCAATTACAGATAATTAAAACACTGCCCTGCAGTCATTCTGATTTCTGGGGTGCGCATCTCGTGCTTCTGCTCTGGAGCTCAGCTGGAAGATGAAGGATATGGGGAACTTTCAAGGGTGTAGATCAGAGTGTTCCCATCTATTCTCTGCAGCAGCACAACTCCCACAGATGGGAGAGGTGGCTGGTGGTGGAAGGTGAGGAGGACCAAGGCAACCCCTCTGCCCTGCACAGGGATGCTCTTTTCAATCTGCAGTACAAAAAGCCACACTGAATAACCCCAGACAGGTGCAAGAGCAGACTGAAATCTAAGGAATACACATAATTTCATCGTGTGCCAAAGCCCTGACCACCCCAGCAGACCAGGTTAACACCTGCCCCCTTTCACTGCACTTTGGGAGACCATTTCTGTGGTCCAGATATCCTCAAGCTGGCAAAGGTTATCAAAATACCAGGGTTTGGAGGAAGGGGGATGTTCCAGCAACGCTCCCTAATAACAAACACCAAAGCAATCCCTTCCAGGAGGAGATAAAGAATTTCTTCCTCCACTGGCAATAAATCAAAGGGCACTGTTCAGCTGATGGGAATTGATTTTTCTCCCTTCCTTTGCACTTAGAGCAAGGCGGGACCGTGGCGAGAGCCCCCAGACGTGACAGAGCCCAATCGATGGCAGGGAGGGGACGCGGTGGGGACGTCTGGCACCAGCACACGGCATTTCTGAGCCCCCTGCAGCAGGGGCACCCTGCTCCCACCCTGAGCCCCGAGGGAGACACACAGGGAATGGAATCATTTAGGTTGGAAAAGCCCTCTAAGATCACCCAGCACTACCACACCACCACTAAACCCCAGGTGCCACATTTACTGTTTTTTAAATCTTCCAGGGATGGGATCCCCACCACTGTCCTGGGCAGCTGTTCCAGGACTGGATAACCCTTTAGGTAAAGAGATTTTCCCTAATATCCAACCTAAACCTCCCCTGGAGTAACTTGAGGCCATTTCCTCTTGTCCTATCACTTGTTACGTGGGAGAAGAGATTGATCCTCAACTGCCTCTAACTTCCTGTCAAGGAGTTAAAGAGCAAAGCCCCAGCAAATGTCCAAAATTCCTTTTGTCACCAAAATTCCTTCCCAAAAGGAAAGGGCAGAGGTGAGCTGTAGTAGGCAATGAATGAGATTTGATCCAAATAAAAATGAGGGAGCACAAATTCTCTTTAGCACAAGCAGAGAAAACGCTGTAAGAGGGATGGGATGGGGATGGGGATGGGGATGGGCATGGGAGACAAACCCCCTGTGCCCTCCTGCCTTCACAAGTGATAATTAAGAGCCTGCCTGGCTGCCCAGAAAAAACAGGTATCTGCCATTCCAACTAAAACACGGCTCCAGTTCTAATCCAGTGTTAATTAAAAAGATTTTCACCATAGCTTCCATCAAACCCAAACCTCTCTGGCTTTTTATCTGCACAGAAGGAAAGGAGAGGAATTTAAAAAAAAAAAAAAAAGCTGTCTGTAACGCAGATCATCCAGAGATCAATCCCTCTCCCCCCACCAAACTCTAAAAGAATCACTGAAGGCAGTGATTTACCCCCTTCTGCACCCAGGACTGCACAGCTGCAGGATGGGGGACACTGGATTGATTTGGTTTCCCTCTAAACCCCTACAACAGCCTAAGATGGTTTTGTGTAGAAGCAGGGGCCTGATTTAACAGGTTATAAAGCTCCACAGTTATCTCACTATTGGCTTTATTGCAGTGCACAAGATTTTTAATGAGAAATAAATTGATAGAGATACATTACCACAGGGGAACTCTGATCTGCTCATTTGCCAGCTATAACAGCACGGACCATGTTTCTGAAATCCAGAGGAAAAATGCACTCATGGTGTATTTATGGCAGAATTCAGCTGGAATGGGCACTCACAGTGTCGCCTGCTGGTGAGGGCCCCTTGCAGAGATGCTGGGCAAGACTGACATAGGTGATGCCTGGAAAGCTGGAAGGAAGAGCTCAGCTGCACCAAACCAGGGAGCTGATGACCCTTTTCACCCCTTTGCAGCCACCCTTTGGTGTCCACTGTGTCCCTGTGCCTTGGGAGCAGTTGAGGTGCGTCCCATGGTAGTGACATCTCTGGCTGTCAATATTTACATCAGCCAGACCCAGCAGAGAGTCCTTCACACAGCACCTGCTGTGCCCCAAGGATGACATGGGGGGTAAACCCCAGAACATACTGGTATTTCAATAAGAAAAATCAAAAAAAAGATGAACACTGGCATGATGGGGAAGTGTTGCCCTGTCCCAACACGAGCACTGTATCTTCATCCTTGTGCCACCTTCTGCAAAGCTCCTGTCCCGTTCAATCCCTCCCTTGGCATGGGCTCTCCCACCTTTCCTCCAGCTCCACCGTGCCTAAGGCAGCTTCTCAGTGCCTGCCCAAAATGCCAGGACACACAAGGCAAGGTGATGGCCTTGGGAGGAGAATGATGGCAGAGCCCTTGTGACCACAGAGGGCACCTCATGCATGGGGGGGACCAGAGATGACCTCCATGCTGCCCCCAGATGTGCTGTCAGCTGAGATGGCTGCTGCACATCTGGATAAATCCCTTTCTTTTTTCCTTCCCTTACCAGGAGAGGCAGGTCAAAGCACAAACATTTCAAAAATGATGTCCAGGAATGCCCTTTCCACAGCCCTGCCATGGACAAAGCCCTGGATTTCTCTCTCCTTCTCCCTCCCACGTTCCTGCCCGCAGGCTCCAGGCACTGCCATTCCTACACCCACACACCACTGCTCTCCTGTGCCAGTGATGCACCTGTGCAGACCTACCTGGAAATGAATACTCTGAATGTGTATTCACACACTTACATGGGCAATATTATTATTTTTAGCATGGAAAACAACTCCTTGCTTTTTGCCAGCTTCCACCTATCGCTTTGCAGCCAGGCTTGGACTGATGACTTCATAATTTGTCCTTAATTTCCCACTGGGAATGTCCCCCACTCCAAGAGGAGAACACAAATACCTGGGAAGGTGGTACACATGTGCTGCCACGTCTGACAGCCCTCCTGGTAAGACAGAGGGTACAGGTTCCCTCTGTGACACCCCCACCCCAGAGCTCTGCCCTGACATGCTCTTCTCCCTGCACCCTTCAGTATTTTAATTAACAAGCACTGGAGTAAATCAAGCCAAATCTCATCTTCTGCCCTTTTTTTGATTTTTTTCATTGACTGTTAGTGGCAGAAGAAAAACAACTCCTCGAAGGTGAAGTTTTGATATTCAGAGAGCTGAGAGAAATACTGGTTCCTACAGAGTGGTGTTCACTGAGGACAAACGTGGATGTCCTGGACACCCAAAGGAGAAAGAGAGCACTTAAATGATAGGAAAACAACTCTAGTTGGCAATTATTGTGCTTGTAAAATAATAAAGATCTTTATCAGCCTCCAGCTTGCCACTGATGGTTAATTATACATATCCTCATGCTGTTGGACAATGGTATTTGGAGAGCTGTGCCTTGTGCTGCAGCATCGGGCTGGAGGAGGCAGCTGCTGGGCCAAGGGATGCAGCCACATCTTCATCCAAAGGGTTTTGAAACAGACCTGAACTTTGCAAGGGGTTTATTTTTGATCAGAGAAAAGGAAGGTAAAATAAAGGGTACTTTGCAATGCAAAAGCAGCCAGGTTTCCCTCCACTGTGAGGTGGAAGGGTTATGAGTTTGCCTTTGCTTTGGATAC